CCCAATACCAGTCTCTGCCTTACTCTGATCCCCGTAGACGGTGAGTGAGTCAAAGATTGCTCAAACATCGGATTCAGACTCCGAATGCGTGTGAGAACATCTCGAATGCAAGAGCTCTCGAGAACTGATGCAAATGGCTGTCTGTGCCTGGCCAGGCTCCGCGACGCCCCATGCTGACCACCATGTCGGATACATACTACACGCTCTTTTGGGGCCATCTTCATGCTTAGCAGCTTCGTTAAGGTTCCGAGACGCAAGCCAGCCCGTTTCAAGTGGCACAACGTTTTTCACTTCGATGCTCATGGCTACATTTGGAAATCTGCTACCTTGCACTTGGGTATCTCGGGCGAGCGCCTCCGTCAGCCACTTCCACCGCGCCAGATTTATCTGGTTCTTGCGGTGCTGGTAAGGCACACGACAATTCAGCCATAACTCCTACAGTTCTCTGAACAAGATATCGGTCGATGACGCGTCAACCCATGTTGCGGCCTTGATTCTTCTCCGGGCAGAGAGAAAGCCTTGGGCTGGACAAGGTTTCAGAAATCAGACGGATCGTGTTTGATCACGTAGGCCTTTGTTTATTAATGGATTAGGATGATAGGGTGCGCTCAGGCCTTATGCCAGAACCTAGATTGGTCGGTTGTCTACGGAACATCCTCTGTCAGAGTGCCAGCCTTGTGGCCTGACATCAAAAGCGACAGAATTGCAGCATCCAGCCACCTTGAAGGTGAAAATTAAGAGCCCAGTAAAAGGTCAGAGGAGAGGCAAATAAATCATGCCAGGTAGGCAGAAATACGAAAGAAATCCAAAGATAGTATCATCACCATGATTTGTCGTTGTTGATGGTACAAGAAACCCGAAGCATAACCCCGCAGGTCATGTGCGAAGACGCACAGAAGGTCAAAGTCACAACCTCAGCTGAATTATCTGCCTGTGTTAGTAGTAGTAACGTTGGCCGGCGCAGCAGAGATTACATCATGTATTTACTTGAGTGGTGTACTGGTGTACTAGTCATGATATCCAGAACCAAGTTCCCTCGGAGCGCATAATATTCAGAAACCCTCCATTTGGATCGTCATTTATCAACTTTGTTTCTTGCCGAAACAACCTACAAATTCCTTTATGGCCACAATAATCTTACAGGAAATTAATGACAGCGAGTCATGTATTCAGTGTCCGAAAATGTGAGGAGGTTAATTACTAGACTAGGGTCCGAAATTTCTCCGCGAACTGTTCAACACCGAAGCGCTCTCAACCCGTTACCCGTTGAGGAATTTATCGGCTGTCTCCTAAATTTAGCGTGCTCGGAGATTACCTCTTGAATAGTTACCAGTCTAAACTTCGAGTTGCAAGTGTACCAGAATATCAGGTTGGAACTATGTGAGCAAGTGCAAGGTAGACCCCTTTACATGCACTCGTACTGCACTTTCCTTCTGTGTCGTGTGGATCAATTCGTTCGTCGGCTCCTAGAGTTTTCATAGGCAACTACCCCTATTCCACAGTACACTATATCGCGTCGCTGAGCCATGCTAAAAAGTACCACAGATGATGAACCACAGGATAGAGCCATTGAATTTTGTAAAGTTAGCGTTGTCCGTGGCATCATGCCAACAACAATCTTCTCCAACGTGTTATTCGACTACACAAAGAGCAGGATGCTATACAATGCACCTGTATCGCCGCTTGGGGTACTATCATTGGTACTGGAGTTACATTCCACTTGAGATTATCATTCAAATACCCCCAGTCGCAGATGAAAGAAATAGCAAGAAGGGGTAAAGGCAAACGGAGACAAAGAATAGGGCTAAGCTTGCGAAAGTATGTGAACACTATTGTATATAGTCGCAAGCCTTAACCCATCTATTCAAATAGGTAACAAAGACGGAAGGTGGGCATCAATCCTCCTAGATTACGGAACATTCTCAATATTCTTAAACATCTATAGTTGTGGGTTCTCTACTCATAGCCAAACGTCAAAGACATTCTACAAGCATCGAACACATCTTCTCCAGTCATTGAAGTACAACGGAGCATGGCAGTATCTGAAGAGCCATGATCAACCCAAGAATCGAGAAATGTAGCAGTCCTATTCAGTACCATCTCTAAGTACGGAGTATACAAAGATAACTTACCGTCAACTTCCCAGAAGTGAAGTCCTCATACATTTAGTTTATAGACTAGTTATCGCATTCCTCTACGCTCTTTATCGATGCCGGAACCGAGAAATCCATTGTTGAAAGTTTCAACTGACTGCAATACAATCCGCTCAAACTTCACTAGTTCAGATCTACTCTCTTCCCAGCACAGATGATGGGTCCTGTATCTTAAGTGGTCACTGTAGATCTATACTACACAAGATCAGATGTGATGATACCTTCTTATATTTGCTTCTATATTAGCCCCACTATCCATTTTCTCAGCCTGGAATATAGCGCACTTAATCAAAGTCCAATATTAACAGTTTAGCCACAGCTTTTATTGTCTACTGTTTTAGATACTATCCAATGAGTCTCCATACTATACATGGCTAGATCCCAAAGACTTCAGCAAGTTATCAAATATGTAATAACTTGATTATATTCATCGAAGGAACATAGAGCATAATCTTACCTAGATCAGGTATTCAATCAAGGACCTCTGACCAATAGCCCATCATTCAATGACGATTTTCTATGCATAATATACCACGTATTTGGGTAGAGCGCAGTTATGCCAGCAGTTTATTATACCTTCTTAACGTTGGTAGATGATTGGTGCCTTTTCTGAGTTCCCAGAGTAGTTCTTGCGCTAAAACGTTGGAAGAGCTTGTTTATATGTGTGTCGACAGGGAGATTGGAAAATCAAATGAAAGGCTGGAGAGTCTATCATCTGACGAGAAGAATACGGATTAGTCCTTTGCAGGATTGAGGTTGGTATTGAACCTAAGGCCTACGCTCTTGTCAATAAATGACTAGTATAGGTAACTACGAAGGTTTCATAGCCCTTGTCTGAGTTGTGAATATAGATTATGTACCTGTAAAATTCATGATTAAGAAACTGCTGGAGACAAATCCACGCCAGTAAAATGCATATATGTTATGCTGAAGATCGTTATGGCGGATCGATACATCATATCCTCCAAAAATATATGTTAGAGATAAATTGTACATACGGTAGGAAAACTATGCCAACGATCATCATCTGGTATTTGAAAATTCGGAATACTTTCCCACAAGCCTATAATAGACAAGCCATGTATTCTGCAGTGACCTCAAACTACTGTTGGTAACTTGGTTTCTGGAAGTGGGAAAAAGCCCAGCTGACGTCAGGTTGCCACTTTCGGGGCCCATTTATTCCCAAACGGCGGAGAGAGTGACTGGAGGCAAAGGACACTGACATAAGAAGGCTGCTGGTCTTTATATAATAACTATACCCCCTGCTCCAACCTATTCTCTCTGTTTTCCCTCTTTTCCCTGTGTTAGCGAAGTGGATGAGAGATATATCAGCTGGAATATTTCCATATCCGGCACCTTGCCTGCACGTGACTTCGCGTGGGCGGTCAACAGCCACGTCATAATCCGTTGCAGAAACGAGTCAATTAATTAGAGGGGCTTCTTGGAGAAAGAAGAGAAACACCGGTGGAACGTGCTTCCACCCGTATGCTACTTTTCATCGTACCCCCTGAATGATTATCACTATCTCCTCACTGCATCGTGAGCAACCTTAGACCTTCGATCTAGAGGGCACTATTTTTCTTTTCATATTTTCCGATTACACTTCGCCATGTCCGATTCGACCCTTTATCTCTACACCTCTCTTACTGCGGGGTCGTCCCATATCGTCACCGCTACTGCACGATTGGAGACGATCCTCAAAGCCAACAAACTCCCTTTCCGCGCAATTGATGTAGCCACCGATGACGCAGCCAGGAAGCTTTGGGGTCGTCGCTCCAAGGGTAGGAAGTTGCCGGGCCTCGTGAAGTTTGGCACAGTCGTCGGTGTAAGTGGTCCCGTCCTTTCCTATATATGTCGTGTATTCTAGTTGTCGGGAGGATGATGAGTGACGATCTTGTATGGCTGACGATTCTGGAACGGTATAGGATCTGGAAGAGATCGAAGAATGGAACGAATATGGTGAGCTGAGAATGCAGGTCAACAACGTGCAAGATTTTGGTGATAGTATCCCTGCTACGAGCACCGTAATCGCTCAGCCTGAGTCCGGATCTGCTGTATCGACGCCCGCCTCAGAACCTTCGGTACCAAAGCAGAGTACCATCAAGATCCAGAACCCACCCGCAAAGGAATCCCAGAAAGACGACTCCATCACGGTCGCTCTGCGCCAGGCTAGCGAGGAGGCCGCCGCCAAAGCTAAAGAGAGTAAGGCTGAGAAGGTGACCCCAGCTGCTGAGCAGAAGAAGCCCCTCCCTACAGCCGTCGAGGAGAAAAAGGAAGGAGGCGCAGATAGTGTACGTCGGAAATCATCGGTTGCTCCCGAGATCGTCGAGGGGGGCAACCCAAAGCGGCCACCTCTGGTGCCAGAGGTTGCCGCAGTGTCCTCTGCCAATTTTCATGCTGATAATGCCGAAGCACTAGGATTAGTTGAGCATCATCGTGGCTCCATCGTTTCTGCCACGTCCCCAGAGGAAAAAGCCAAGGTCGCTCAGGATATTCGTAAGTCGATTTCTGGCGGTCATGCGGAGATGTTGGAGTCGTTGCGCGACGACCAGGCGCAGAAAGCTGGTCAGGAGGAAACCGTTGATGAAGAGTCGGAAAGTGGCGAGGATGTCGAGGATGTTATGAATCGAAAGGCAAAGAAACCAGGCTCCAGTTGAACGGCCCATGAGAGGTCTTCGTTGGACTCCCGCAGATTGCTTCATGATACGATGGACACGCCCGGCATTACTCTACTAGCCCTCTTACTTTCGGTTTTCTTTTTTCTTTTTTTTTTCTACTACCCTGTAAAGATACCAGCGCATTGATATGAACCATTTTAATTCAAATTTCGTGAATATCAAAGATTTGTGTAGTTTTTATTTATCCTTCAGCCGTATTTACTAGTCTATGCAACACATCTCTAGGTACATACTCCAAACCCGATGTATCGGATATTACCGTATACCAACCCTTGCCCACCTTTTAAACCATCACATGGCCTAAAGTCAAGACGAAAACGGAGATCAATAAAAAGCCCTTAGTGTGAGGAGAAAGGTAAAAATGGAAGAGAAGAAACGAAAAGAAAGCAATTACCGGCGATGCGCGATTAAAATATCATGTCACATGAAATATAGTAAGAAAAATTACTTTTAAAGCTTGTGGTGTTTGTTAACAGCTTCGCGAAGCTTTGCGATGACGTCGGCAGGATCCTGGGCACCAAAAACCGCCGAACCAGCGACAATCACATTGGCTCCTGCTTCAGCGGCCTGGTCCACCGTCCCGAGCCCCAGTCCGCCATCAACCTCGATGTTCAAATTAGGGTATCGCTCACGGAGAGCCTGCACCTTGGGCAGCTCAGAGGCCATGAATTTCTGACCGCCAAAGCCGGGGTACACGGTCATGACGAGGACCATCTGTGAAAAAAGGGCCGTTTAGCATGGATTATGCTTGTGAGGGTTTCTTTTATGTAAGAATGATGTCACTTACATCTGGGCGTTCTTTTTCGTCTTCGCTCTCGAGAATCTCCCACAGTACGTCCACCGGTGTGTCAGGCTTGATAGCAATACCGGCTTGCATGCCCTCTTCGTGGATATATCGGATTAATTCCTTCGGACTCGTCTTGCGAGTGGTTGTCGAGTCGGCAGGCTCGGTCGCTGCGACGGAAGCTATGGCGGCTTCGTAGTGGAAACAGTAGAGGTCGCATCCGGCGTTCTTGAACTCCTTGACCCATTTATGTGGCTAGATTTAAACACAGTACGGTCAGCCGGGCGCGCTCCGAAGTTGTGCGGAATGATCGGAAAGCTTAAAATATGATGTGCGAAAACGGCGCGGGTTGCTGAAGGTTCAGGAGCAGGTATCTCTCACCTCCATGATCATCATATGGCAGTCAAAGGTGCCCCGGCCATGGGGCTGGGTTGGACGGTCGACATGAGACCGGATCTTGGTGACAACGGGAGCTCCGAAGGTGATGTTAGGAACGAAGTGGCCGTCCATGATGTCGACATGGAGCCAGTCTGAGCCCTGGGCCATCTTCGTGGAGCATTCGCTTCCCAGAGTCGCGAAATCCGCGCTCAAGATGGACGGGGCAATGATCGCCGGCGGGGACATGATGTCTGAAAGTCTCAGGAGCTTGTATAAAGGAAAGGAAGCAATTGACGGGTATGGCGGGGGAGATGGTCAATGGGAAGGATAAGCTTCAGGGGACGATGGGGAGAGAAGACAGGTTATATACCTGTATCCGGAAAGGACTGTGTGGACAGCACAGGTATGGAGAAAGAGTGGATATGTGTACTCCATCAGAGGGCAGGCAAATGCCCATAAAAAAAAATTAATCACCGGCCATTGATATCACCGCCATTTACCGGTCGACGTCACTCCGAACAGCCAAATCAGGCAAGTTGGATGCTGGTGATAAGGGCTAGGGCCAAGACTCTCACGTGGGATGCCCGGTGGGGTTGCATTAGGGGGAGCTTCGATGCCTGAACGGAGGTCGAGACTCAGGCCTGAACGGGATCACGGGAACCAGCTTCCCGCCATATTGAGATGCCGTCGACCACTTTGGTGCTTTATTGGTAATCTCTCGACTTTGACTCAACACTGACTTGGATTAGTGCCAGTTCACCCCAGCGGCCTAATTTCCGATGAAGTGGTCGGCTGACCTGGTCGTACACCGTTAGTCAGCCAGTTGTTGAGCTGGTTGGGAACGGAATGACCACTTTTGTCTTTCCAGACTTGCCTGGTGATGAAGACAATGTCCGACAACCATACTTGCTACCTAACCGTCATTAATTAACCGCCTTTCCAAAATAACGTTGGGTGGGGAAAGCACGATCTACTGATTAATCAGAACACCCCTCGACAGGATTTCTAAAGATAGACCGCCCGGCGCTTGTTGTTCACCAATCACACTCACCTTAACTTCCAGTCACAAAGCATCATTCGTCGAGAGCCGTTCTCTGCACGCGCCCCCCACCTATTGGTGTGATATCTGTCCAGCGTGCTGGATGTCACTTCTGTTGTACCTCTCAGAGTGCTGGAAGTCCTTCAGGAGCGAAGCGCCGTCTTTACAGCAACCAATGGTAGCCTTTCTGAAAGGTTTATTTCCAAGGATCCCTGGCTTGTCGTGCGCAATAGTGCAGTAGTTTCTGCACGGATGATGGTTGGTGTGGACGACGTCTCCAGATCTTCCCCTCTTCTCCCTCAGACCTGGGTGTATTTATCAGAGCCATGCGCCACGGATCGATCGTGATCTTCACCTACTTCGTTGTGGTCATTTTACCTTAATTTTCTTTTTCCTTTTTGTTGGCTTTGAACATTTGTGCCTTCAGCTCTGTGAGCTAGGCCGTCCTTCGTTGTATCCTTTGCTTGCGCTGGTAGACCCGTTGATCGGCGTCGAACGCAGTTGAAATAATATACCCTTAGAACGTTTCGTTTTGGACAACATCGGCTTATGTTGTAATTCCTTATTCTTTCTCGAAGAAAAAGAAAACAGCAACGCATACGGCAACATGACTGAGTTATTGCGCTCTGCAACAGCCAGATGTCCGCCTCCTCGGCAGGCCCGAGGGACGAGGCTTAATACCATAATTGAGGATTCTCGTGAGGGGGAATACTCGGAAACACCGCGTTACCGAGAGGCTCGCCCAAACAAGAATGCTTCTCAGCCACAGTTAAAATTGAAGACCAGTGGTCTGGCGCTGGCGTCTAGACTAAACCGTCTGCTGTCTCCCTTATCTGCTGGAACTACCTCCTCTTGCTCAGATACCGAATGGCAAAATCAAATGCAAACATTTGATGATCTGTATGATGCAACCGACGAGGAGTCAGAGATGAGTGATGAGTGCACTTCGATCTCGAGTACTCGCCCAACAAGTCTGCTGACCCCAACGACAAGAAATTCGATTTCGCCGACGAGTCGTAATCGCTATCCCAGTCTTACGATTCCCTCGTCAACAATATGGCCGTCTCTTCAGGGTGCCCCGAAAAGCTCACCAATTCCCCCAACGCCGCCCCCTAAGATCCCAGTCTCCCCGGCAGCTTTATCATTTCTTGGCCATTCCGTGCCGGCCGTGCATGCTCCTCCGTCGCTGGACGGCAGTGTGTCATCGGATCAAGTCTCCAATATTAGTGCTCCAGCTACTCCAGATGTCCAGTCACTTCCTGACAACGACTGGAATCCGCATGAAATCCTTGTCCGGCCGGACCTCGAAGATGAAGAAGATGCCGACCTTCAAAATCCAGAGACAAGCTCAGATCTACAAAGTATTGAAATCGCGATAGAGAATACCGAAGAGGATTGGCGACAGTTTCTCGGAAACTTCCCTCGAATTCCTGGCCAAGCGAGATCGCCACCCGTCGCTGACCCTGTGCGCGAAGATACTCCCTCTGACACAGGCGTGTTTCTCCCTGAAGATGCGTTGGCAATGTTGAGACACATTCCCCTGGATGTGACCCCGGATCCTTGGTCAGAGACTTCTGAAAGCAATGAAGAGATGTGGCAGATCGAAACACCAGAGCGACCACGCAGTGCTGACGATGCGACTCCCGCTTCAGACCTCTCTGGATATAGCTTCAGTAGACTCAGTATACCCTCCCCTGGTGGCTTCTTTGCCTCCCTTGGTCCAAGAGCTCGTCACACTTGGTCGATTCCCAAGTTAAACAACATTCCTTCATCTGCGATAGCTGAGAGGTTTTACGATCTACCATTCACCAGGACCGAAGGGGAAATCGTTGAGCAGATCATTGAATGTCCTGAGAGGTCAATTGATGAACAGCTAACAGCTGTTTACGATCCAAGAGGACCCCCGACTGCGATCAGGATCCCTTCTGAGGACCCAGCGCCACATTTAGAACATGCAGAAAGTCCAGTTAGTGACGACGTCGATGGTGTGCATGAGATTGCAAGACCAGGCATGTACAATCCGGAGGAGCGAGATGAGAACTATGAAGATGAATTGCAAAAGAAGGCAATGGCAAGCCTAGACCGAACTAGCGTTTGGCTCGCAGCGCAGGCTTCGTATCTTGCTGCCCTGTGTGAAACGAATCCCGCCAATACCCCAGTAAGCGAAAGAGAAGACTGTATCGCAATCGCGGAGAGTGTGACACAAGCCGTAGCACAAGTCGTGTCCCAAAAGTCCGTACGATTTGACGAGACAGTTCCAGAAGCTCCCAGCTCCCAGCCTTCTGCGCTGGCAAGCAAGGACTCAATCTATTGGAGGGGGTTCCAGTCTATTCGGCGACGTGCTAGAAACACAGACACTTTCATGCACCGAACCATGCGCTTCGACGCCGTGCAATCTATTCGACTGGGTCTGCCCAATACACATACAAATTGTTTATTGGGCAATTACGAATTAGTTCGTCCCGGACGGCCTCCTTACAGAGGTCCATTCTCCCAAGCACCCCGCGATTCAGTCGTGGGTTCCATCTTGGAGGAAAAAGCGCAGTTTTCCATGCTGGAGAAGGAGCAGTTAGTGCTTACCCAGATTAGTGAGCCTATGTGGGCCATGGAGGCCCTTCGATACCTCAATGGTGGTCGTCTGATTGCTAGTCCTGCTTTCAAACGACTTGCTAAGTCGAAGGCAGTCTCAACAGACTCTCAAAGATCTGGTTCACGTCGCATTAGAGTTCTGGATCTCGGGGGTCATGCTTCGTGTGAGTGGGCATGGCAGATTGCACATGACTACCCTAACGTCAAGGTTTACACCGTCTTCACCGAGCACCAGGCATTTAACCGTGGCATCAAAGGGCCCGCGAACCACCGTCAAATTTCCGTGCAAAATCTGTGGCAACTGCCATTCTCTAATAATAAGTTTGACGTGATCTCTACCCGTTCACTGCCAGCCCTATTGAAGAGCGAACGTAGCTCCGGTGACCAGCAAGACGAATATGAACTTTGCCTTCAAGAATGCCGTCGCTGCCTCAAGCCAGGTGGATACCTAGAATTCTTCGTGATGGATGCACAGATATCGCGCGGAGGGCCTTACGCATCTGCCACGTCCGTTGAGTTCGCATACAACCTCAAGACGCGAGGCTACGACCCAACCCCTACGAAGAGCTTCCTCGGGCGTCTGCAGAAAGGTGGTTTTGTAGGGGTCAAACGAGCTTGGATGTTCTTACCAATGGGAAACGAGCCGGCAGTCTCCCCTGTTCCCAGGGAGACACCCGAGCCTAGAGTCAAGAGCCACATCAGCGAATGTGAAGCGGTTCAGGGCCCGGTCGGCAGCACAGCTGACGCTGCAAGTGTCACTGGCCTGTTTGGTGGGTGGATTTGGGAACAATGGCTTCTCAAGTTGCAAATCGAGATGGGTCGAGAGCAGGGGAGGTTGCTAGAAGGAATCGGAAGCGTTTTCGACGAGGGTCGCAAGAACGGAGCTGGTTGGACATGCTTGTCTGGTTGGGCGATGAAACCAAGACAGATGAAGCAACATGGACCCCAATAGAACCATGATAGGTAAAGGGTTCACTCACTCTTTCACCCCTTGTTTTTATCTCTATTTGGTCCTGTCCTTCGTTTGGTTCATGTATGTGAATGATACAAGTTAGCTATGATACCCATATACCGCCCTGGCGGCGAGCATTAATGTAATATACGAGATTGATTGGTGCCCATTTTATGCGAAGGGATTTGAACAAGATGATTTTGTCCAGGCGCGTTGGGCAAATGCATGCATGAGACAGGAGGAGAGCCCATAGCAGAACTATAGTATCCCAACAACACATGTGGAACGATAGAAAGCCACTACACTTGTTACCTGGAATCAGACACCTATGTAGAATTTTATTCGTTCGTTGACAGCCTCCCATCGGGAACGCTCTGGATAACATTGTTTGGTCATTGCTAGAGTGTCATGTAGTCACTAAAGCCAGCTCGCTGAACACGAACGACAACAGTCCATATCACGTGACACCCGACCGGAGCAGATTAGATTGCGACTGACAACATCACTTCAACGGTATTATATTCCCCCACCTTTACGGTCTCTCCATTATACCTTGAATTGCTCGCTGGGAAGTGCAGGGCAATTGTACCTTTTATCCACAAATATATCCCACGAGGCCATGCGATAAGGCTTGCAAACACCACAACCCCGCGCTCAATTACCCTCCCGCCGCAACCATGCTCTTCTTCAGGTATGCCGGCCCACGACTGACAGGTCAAGCAAAAGAACGAAGCTTCTCTAACACAGTACAGTTTCTTCAAGACCCTCACAAACCAAACCGTGATTATTGAGCTCAAAAACGACATTCGTATCCGCGGAACACTGAAATCCGTCGACCAATACCTCAACATCAAGCTCGACGATGTCGACGTCCTGGACCTGGACAAGTACCCTCACCTCTCGTCCGTGAAGAACATGTTCATCCGTGGTAGTGTGGTTCGCTACGTTGTCCTGCCCCGATCGGAAGTAGATGTCGGTTTGCTGGAGGATGCCACAAGACGAGGTAAGCTTGCGATTTGCGCTCCCACTCCGCTTGTCCGCACTATTCTAAAATCAATGCTAATATTTATTCTACTACAGAGGCAGCCAACCAAGCCGGAAAAGCTCGGTGATCGAAGTAACCCGAAGTACAAAGAGAGAAGAGAATCCGATCATGCTAGTTTAATCCCCTTACGATGCGATGTCGCTGCGTGCCCCCGGAACAAAATAATCTATGTGATGATCGCCACGGAGAAAGCCTAGGATATGAATACCGGTCTAGGTGGTGGCAGAAATTGAATATTTTTTTTGGTCTATGAGATGTCAAAGGAAGCTTGGAAGGGCGCTGAGGATTCGAAGATCCTATTCCTGTCGATTAGAGCTGGTACCTTCCCTGCAAACAGCAGCTTAAGCTATGTCTACACGCATGTGGCATAGGCTACTTGCCGGTGCTTTACAAATTCAAATATAATTCAACCGTACCCGGTGAAACTAGGTCGAATATGAGGCAAGAGTAATCCTATCGGGTAATATGGACACGTGATCTCGCGACGCGAAAATGATTGCCGCGCCGCGCCACGTTCTTGTCCTTACGTTGGTTTCTGTCGTCGACATTCATTTCGAGAATTGTACGAAAAACGGGGGACTCAGTACAGTATGAACATATAAGACATATAACGCATTGAAATCAGATTGATGAACCGGATCCCATCCAGCGACCAACAATTTGCCCCTCATCTGAATACACCTACGGCCGCCAATATCGACCACAACCTGATTCACACAAAGTATTCGACATGGCTGGATCATTTTCAAAGAAAGGCTCGACGCCATCTAAACAGCCCTTCAGGTCCAAGCAACAAGGCTCTGTGAAACGGAACAGCAGTCTCCTGAACTTTTTTCAGAAGGCGGACGGCCCGCCGCAAGCCACATCTCGACAGTCTCGGATTACGCAATTTGCAACGAAAGCAGACCGACCGACGGGTAACGGACAGGGCAGTTCATCTCTCCGGCGGGAAGATAGCTCTAAGAGTAACGGCGGTGGCGGGTTGTTCTTAGATGATCGGAATGGAAAGAAGCCGGCCTCAATAGATCCTAGTACGCCTCCGCGGTCCCGGTCCCGGACACCTGATGACATCTGGGGTGAAGATGATGGAGACCTCGTGGCTCCAAAGGAGGAGGAGAGATATAACGAGAATGGGTCTGCGGTTAAGAAGCGTAAGGTCCAGTCAGAGTCATCCTCTCCTCGGACCGATCAGGTGAAGGATGAAGTCTCTTCGACAACGCCTGCACCCGCAAAATCGCGAAAGGTCAGCGGACCGTTTATCGATGAGTCTGATAGTGAGGAGGATATGGGGGCATTTGGAGATTTAGGTGACGAGCCAGCGGTCTTGACAAAGCCCGAAGCCAAGAAGGATGTAACGGGCGTTGATAATGACCGGAACGATGATGATCAAACTTCCGATGTCGCCGTACCCTCATTGGTAAGAGAAGCCACGAGCCATATCGAAGATGATGAACTTGCGAATTTTGACGATCTAGAAGAGGACGATTTCGGAGGGGAAGAAGGACTCTTAGACCAGGAAAACGACGACGACGAAGAAGAACCCGAAGAGACGATATTTGGTTTCGACGACTCGAACGATTTGCCAGCTCTAGAGGAGTGCGATGTGGATCCTGGCGGTATTGTAGCAGTGTGCCCAATATGCCAGATCGAGTTGGTAGGCTTGAGTGACGTTGTAAGGCGCTCTCTTGATTTGGACTATTTACAAGTTACATGCTAATAGTAGTAGGACGTGTCGGTGCATGTCAATGATTGCCTTGATGGGAAACCTAGCACTGTTTTGCCAAAACTGAAGCCCGACACAGCGGCAATGGCGCTGACGCGCGCGGAACTCGCTTCCATTGCAAGACCACCACAAAATGATCCATATTCCTCCGGCACATCCAAGACAGCATCCGCTTTCTCGAAGCTTATGGCAGGTAACGCGGAAGATACAGCATGGACAGTCGCGGCGGCCAGGGAAGTTAAGTCTAGGGGCAAGCAGGCATATCAACGAACTTGTCCATTCTACAAGATTATTCCGGGCTTCTCGATCTGTGTGGATGCTTTTCGTTATGGAGCAGTCGAAGGATGCAATGCCTACTTTTTGAGCCACTACCATAGTGACCACTACATAGGCCTCACGGCCTCTTGGCGCCATGGACCCATCTACTGCAGCAAAGCTACTGGCAATCTCGTTCGCCAACAGCTCAAGGTAGACCCGCGATGGGTGGTGGATTTAGAATTCGAGAAGACTACAGAGGTCCCCAATACTGGGGTTCAAGTTACTTTGATCGAGGCCAATCATTGCCCCGGAAGCGCCATTTTTCTCTTTGAGAAGGCCATGGGGTCTGGCCCGTCCAAGAGGATTCAGCGGGTTCTGCATTGTGGCGATTTCCGAGCATCTCCGACCCATGTGCAACACGCCCTTCTTCGCCCCGAGGTGGTCGACTCCGTCACGGGACAGAAACGGCAGCAAAGGATAGATGTGTGCTACTTGGATACTACGTATCTGAGTCCCAAGTACTCCTTTCCTAGTCAAATCGATGTCATCGAAGCCTGCGCGGAGCTCTGTGTTAGCCTTGACCAAGGCGAGGACGAAGGCCCTGCGCCGTGGCAGTCACAAAAGGCAAATAAAGGAGGCGGGAGTATCATGAGTAAATTTTTCAACTCTGTGACGGGATCGGGAAAGATACAGGAGAGATCGTCTCGCCCGCAAGGCCGATTGTTGGTCGTCATCGGCACGTATAGTATCGGCAAAGAGCGCGTATGTCTAGCCATTGCCCGAGCCTTGAAGAGCAAGATTTATGCCACTGCGGGCAAGCAACGAGTGTGTGCTTGCCTGGAGGATGCCGAGCTTTCTTCGTTGTTAACGGATGACCCTGTGGAGGCCCAGGTGCATATGCAGACGCTGTTCGAGATCCGCGCTGAAACGCTGGCCGACTACCTGGATTCGATGAAGCCGCACTTCACTCGCGTGGTAGGATTCCGCCCGACAGGATGGACATACCGTCCACCCACAGAGAGGATGTTGGACAACCCGCCCGTCTCAACGGTGCTACATTCTGCTCATTGGAAGACGCCTTTCACCGCACGCGACCTGGTGCCCCAGCGCGGAAGTACGCGTGAAAGCGCGTGCTTTGGAGTGCCGTACAGCGAACACAGCTCGTTTCGGGAACTGACGATGTTCTGTTGTGCGCTCCGGATCGGACGGGTGATCCCTACGGTAAACGTTGGCAGCCGGAAAAGTCGGGAGCGAATGAAGGCATGGGTTGAGCGATGGGAGGCGGAGAAGAGGAAGAGTGGATTGTATCGGGTGGAAGGGGACCAGTGGTAGAGTGAAAGATTTTTGGCGAAGAAGACTTGTACATATTCATACACCGGCAGTATATTGTGGAGCATACGACCTATGCTAGGACCAGCTACATTTTCACCAGCCGTAGAGGGAGACCTGCATTATGGCTCTTCGTGTCTGCACATCATCGATACAACGTGACGTATCATATGCATCCCGACATGACATATTTGCATATAGTACCTCCATACCTTGCTGAAATAAAATAGAATATAATTGGGAGTCCTTTGCACCTTGGCGACCTAACAACGTAGCGAACGTACATACTAATTACGAGTACATCTGTTGTCCACCGCGACGCCACCAAATGTGTAGTCGAATTATTACTGGTGGTGTACCGGCCACCACCAATGGGAGAGGCGGGAAAGGTAAGAAGGATGACCACATTAGCTTGGCTCAAAGCTAATCGAATGTGCTTCACCAGTGATGGACTTGAAGGCGACCAACAGAACCGTGGGCAAGCATGAGCGGTCAATCATGACTCGTGACTGGCAGGGGCACGTTAACCGAGAGCAGAAGCGGGGGATCGGAGGCCAACATCGGCTGCTTAAGAACCGCAAGTCAACCCCAGACTTCCCGAATTTGACTTCCGTCGGTTGGATAGCCTCGGGGAAGCCTCGTTGCCGCTAGACCCATAAATATTGACCATCAGCCATAGTCCTGATGAGGATGATAGAGAGACATGATATGATTCTTCGACCATTAGAGTGATTCTTATTATTTTATTTTATTTTATTTTTATTTTTTTTCCTGAGATCTTTGTTTCTCTTTCGATTCTCTGTTGACAGCATTCTTCACCTTTCAACAATTTCTCAGGCGTGGAGTTGATTGATTCTTGACGGCAATCATTCACTCATCTCTTACCGAAACAAGGTTAGTGGCAACGGTTACCAACTGATTCTCCACGATCATCCCGTTATGGTTAAATTCTGAATCCTTTCGCCAATGCTAACGCACCTCCCTGGTTTAGCTTCTTAATTGTCCTACATTATACCGTCTTGCTGGAGGAGTACAACAAGGACAATACCCGCCATGATTGCCGAGCTCCTGACGCCAACCGGCGCAGCGTATGTGCTCACCGCCGCCGTCTTCGTGTACTATATCCTGCCCTACCTGCAGCTATGGCGCTTACGCGATATACCCTCGCCCGGCTTCGCCGCATTCTCCAACCTGTGGCTGATGTTGCAAGCCCGCCAGGGGCACCGCTTCATCACTGTCGACAACGCCCATAAGAAACATGGCAAACTCGTGCGCATTGCACCCAGGCATATCTCCATTGCCGACGACGAGGCTATTCAGGCTGTTTACGGACACGGAAATGGATTCCTTAAGGCGTATGTCTCTTCCTTTCTTCACTATTCCCCTAGACAATCAACATCCTCTGCGGATGCAAATTCCGCCAACAAAACAACATTGCAAAAAAAACTGATAACAATACAGTGACTTCTACGATGCCTTCGTCTCTATCCGCCGCGGTCTCTTCAACACCCGCGACCGCGCTGAACACACCCGTAAGCGCAAGACCGTGAGCCACACCTTCTCCATGAAATCCATCGGCCAGTTCGAACAATACATCCATGGAAATGCCGAGCTCTTCGTGAAACAGTGGAACCGCCTCGCCGATACCCAAGCTAACCCCAAGACCGGCTACGCGACCCTGGACGCCCTGAACTGGTTCAACTACCTCGCCTTCGACATCATTGGTGACCTCGCCTTTGGTGCCCCCTTCGGTATGCTCGAGAAGGGCCAGGACATCGCTGAAATGCGCTTGAACCCGAACGACAAGCCCAGCTATGTGCAGGCCGTCGAAGTCCTCAACCGCCGTGGTGAAGTCTCTGCTACCCTGGGTGCCTGCCCCAGTCTCATTCCCTGGGCGAAGTTTATCCCCGACCGCTTCTTCAAGGATGGACTCGAGGCTGTGCAGAATCTGGCTGGTATTGCGGTCGCGCGGGTGAATGAGCGTCTTCGTCCGGAGGTTATGGCGAACAACACTCGTGTGGACTTGCTGGCTCGTCTTATGGAGGGCAAGGATTCCAATGGAAACAAGCTTGGCCGCGAGGAACTTACAGCCGAGGCGCTCACGCAGCTGATTGCCGGTTCTGATACTACGAGTAACACCTCCTGTGCTATTTTGTACTGGTGTCTGCGCACTCCTGGGGTTATTGAGAAGCTGCACAAGGTGCTCGACGAGTCGATTCCCAAGGATGTGGATGTGCCCGTTCACGCAATGGTTAAGGATATCCCCTAGTATGTCATTCTCCTTCGCTCCCGCTCCCCCCTTACACTACTTGTCCTGGCCAAAAGCTAACTAAGAAAAAAGTCTCCAATGGGTCATCTGGGAAACAATGCGTATCCACAGCACTTCCGCCATGGGCCTTCCCCGTGAAATTCCTGCCGGTAACCCCCCGGTCACAATCTCAGGCCATACCTTCTACCCTGGCGATGTCGTCTCCGTGCCCAGCTACACCATCCACCGCTCCAAGGAAATCTGGGGTCCCGATGCCGAGCAGTTCGTCCCCGAGCGCTGGGACCCCAAGCGTCTGACTGCCCGCCAGAAGGCCGCTTTCATCCCCTTCAGCACTGGTCCCCGCGCCTGTGTCGGCCGGAACGTCGCGGAGATGGAGCTGCTCGTCATCTGTGGAACTGTCTTCCGGTTGTTTGACTTCGAAATTCAGCAGGATGGACCCATGGAGACGAGGGAGGGATTCCTCCGCAAGCCTCTGGGACTCATGGTTGGAATGAAGAGGAGACGTGTTGCTGCTTAGGCTCCGGGAGGGGTGACAAAGAAAGCTTCGGGTGAAACTTTGGGTGGACTAGTAAAATTGGATGTAAATATGCTGTATGATTTGAAATTGTGCGATGGTCAATGAATTTCTACTTTTGAATCTGTTCTTGATGACTGAGGTTCATATGTATATATGATGAATGGCCTTCTGGCCTTTTTTTTTTTTTTTTTTTTTTTTTTTTTTTT